ATATTAATATTGTTTGAGGAGATTCCGACATTAGGATTTGTGGTTAAGTTCTATTAAGACTTTAATATTAGAATTAGATTAATGGTGTAGTTATAATTCTATATTAGACTTTAATATTAGAATTAGACTAACGGTGAATTAACGGAAAAGTTAAATGGATAATCATATAATTAAGGATAAATTAGAAAATATTAAAAGAAAAAAAAAATTAAAACCTGAACAATATGAACCATTCATTTGATTTAATATTTTCGCGGTCATTTTTTCTACCCAATGTTAATAATTAAATAAATTCGCTGGTCAAATCCGCTAACGCTAACCGCTAACTGCCGATTGTCAAACAAGGACATTGCGAGGTAGTTCTCGCTTCAATTTGTTGTGTGATTTGAATACTCTCTTTGTCACAAAATCTCTCAAGTAGTTAATATGGTTGACTTTATTAATTATATATTTTTTTATTTTTTCATGGTATTAATAAAATACTTGGTAAATAAATATATAGCATTATTTTATGTTATAACTTTGATATTTAATTAGAAAAATAGTGCACAAAAAAAGATAATAGATAATGTAGTGAATATAATCAATTAATGAATTTGAATGTAAAAATTTTTACATTTGAAAAAAATAAAGACAATATAACTAATGAAAATATTTTTTTTTAATTTTTTGAATGCTACTAGCTCTATTACATTGTAGTATCTGTTCATATACTTTCTCAACCTACTGAAACACAAAGAGCTAATAACGCCTCCACTGAAGCTCGAACTTACAACCTTCCAAATGGAAGTCCAACCCGGGTACCATTGGACCACATAGTCCTGGTATATTTTTTTTTTATTAATTTATTGATAATTAATAATTTTTTTTCATTGAATAAAGACATTGTAAGGACAATGTAGCGAATATAATCAATTAATAAATTTGAATATAAAGAATTTTTATATTGAAGAAAAATAAAGACAATATAACTAATAAAATTATTTATCTTATTTAATTTATTGATAATGAATAATTTTTTTTTAATAAAGACATTGTGGATACATAATTCTAAATTAAAGAAATGCATATGTATTATTTTTTGTTGTAACTACTAAATTATTATTTATATAATTTAATAATAAGAGTAAAATAGAGTACTAATTATGCCAACTTAGATTGGGATGAGGTTCAAACCTAAGACCTTTTTTTTTTTATTGAAATCAATGAGTAAGTTAACGGTGAACTAACGCCAATTCTTAAAATTTTAACGGAATTAGTAATGGTGTGTGGGTATTTTAAGAAATTTTAGTGTAAAATTTAAATCTGATCAATCTTTTAATAAATCTGAGCCGTTCATTTGATTAAAATCTGTGACCGCCATTTTTTCTACCCATTATAGGCCTAACTCTCTTGGGCTCTTATTAGTATAGTAGATATATATATATATATATATATATATATATATATATATATATATATATATATATGAAACTCTAATGATGTAAGAATAATTTTATCTGATAAAAAAATATTTGTACAATATTTATAAAATAATATACATTATACCATTATAATAATACTTACGAAAAATATTAATACCATAGTTCCCTAAATCATTCTCAATAATGTAAAAGTATAATTAAAATATTGAGTATTTTTCTAAATAATCAAAACAATATTAATTAAACAAAAAAAAAGGGGAAAAAAAAAAACTTAAACATAGATTTAAAAAAAAAATATTTGTAAGAAAATTATTTTCAAGTTTCCTTACTTGTAATCTTTGATGCTCAACCTTAAATGTTATGTATATAGTTTGACTAATTAATTGATCAAAGTTCATGTTAAATTTTATATTGTATTTTTTTAATACATTCGAACATGCATATTCATAGTATATGTTCAACAAGAGTTAATTACTAAAATAGTCCATTGACTATTGCAAAATTACCAATTTGGTTCTCAACTATTTTTTTTACCCAATAAAGTCTTCGACTTTGAAAATTTTAACCAATATGGTCCTCCGTTAAGTTTGGGTTCTAGGTCTGTTAAAGTCGAGGGTAATAAAGGAATTTCACGGTTTATGCTCTAGTGTGAAGATGGCATCCGATGAACCCTCATCATCCTCGAAAACTTCTTCGTCATCGTTGTCATGGATAACTCGTTGTCGAAGGAGAGGGTGAAGCTCATCTCCTCCGGCAGAGGTGGTTCCGACGAGCCTGCTTTCAAGTGCTTCTGATCCCGCTCTCTGTTTGAAGAAGAAGGTTGTAGCCGGGCTTTGCAAAAGCTGCGAAAGGGAAGGGCAATGGAGGTCATTTTTCCGCTTCTTCTGTTTCATTGGTTTTCCCCTTTCTTGTATTACTGCCCATCAAATTCGGCCACTGGCTTCAATGTTACGCCAAACCAACTGTGAGCTGTGAACTGTCCTTAATTTAATGAAGAAATTAAAGTTTTGAGTTTTGCAAGTCAAATAAGCTATGTGTGTTAAATATTAATGCTGTCCTCTTTCTTTGTTCATTAAAAAAAAAAAACAAAAAAAAAAAAAACATTTGCAGTGCTAATGAAGGGGCTTTGGATATGTGTTCAGGTACTTGGTTTTAGGGCAAGCTTGTTGCCAGTTGGGCCTAATGGAGGATGCTTTGGTTTTGTTACATACGGGCAAACGCATTGCCACCGATGCCTTCGGCCGCGAGAGTATTTGCTTGTCCGATGATGATTTTTCTTTCGCTAGATTCCCGCTGACCGGAGAGATTTTTGCTGCCGGTGCCCAGCTGCAAGCGCCACCAATAACTGAATCCGAAAGCATTTCCCAGTTGCTCAACCACATCAAGCTACTGCTCCGCGGCAGGACCATCGCAATCACTGCCCTTAACACTGGCCTCTATTCCGAAGCCATTCGATACTTCTCCAAGGTTGTTCCCCAAATTGACCGGGTACTTGATTGTGCCATCTTCACACTAGACCATGAACTTGTGAAATTCCTTTATTACTCCCAATTTTAACAGACTTTAGACCCCAAACTTAACGGAGGACCATATTAGTTAACTTTTACAAAGTCGAAGATTTTATTGGGTAAAAAAAATAATCGAGGACCAAATTGGTAATTTTGCAATAGTCAAGGGACCATTTTGGTAATTAACTCTGTTCAACAATTATATATGTTAGGATGAAGTTCGAACCTAAGACCTTCATTATTGATTTAAGTTAAAAACAATATAAGTAGTTAATAAAATATTTACTAAAGTTTATAATGACAGAATGCATGAGTAAGATAAAAATAATAATATAATAGATGGTAAAATAGAAAAATAAAAACCAACAACTAAAATCAAAATAATTTAAACCATTCGTTATATCAAATAAGTATATGCCTAACTTTATTGACTATGTATTGTATGCATGTATAGATAGAGGCGATCCAGTATGAGGGCAGTGGGGCAGCTGGCCCCACTCACCCACCTCCACCCCATATATAACTCTTGTATGTATATATGTATACATAGTACAATATATATTTATTATAAGTACAGAAAGATATACAATAATTAACAAAGAGGTGCTAGATCAGTTGGCAAAAGACACCTTTCACCTTGAGAAAGGGCATAGGTTTGAATCCTATACTTATACTTCTTAAGTGTTTTATTTATTTTTTTTTTTCCAAATGATCTCTTTTATTTTAATGTTTCGCGGCACTAAAGAAAATTCTTGAATCCGCCATTGTGTATAGATAGATATAGACGTGTGTATATATATATACATACCGGTGTGGGGTCATAGCTTGGTTTGCCGACAAAGACAAACACATGGACAAGAATATCGAGAAAAAAAAAAGTTGGGATAAGAATACAAAAGTTGCCACCTTTTCTTTAAAGTTGTCACTTTTGCAGGCGTATCAGGTATGTATTATGATCTTGGCGTATGTACTCTTGTATATCAATATTGTTAATTATATGCGTATGTATTCTTGGCGTATGTACTATGATGTATATCAATATTGTTAATTCAATATAATTTAATTTAATATTATAAATATAATTGACATATCTGTAACCTATAAAACATTATTTAATATAACAATTTATAATATTGTTAAATTAACAATAAATTAAATGTATTAATAATAAAATAATTATAATATTTTGAATTCCATAATAAAAACAATTATATATAGTAATGCAAATTGGATTCATAACGATTGAATTAGAAAAACACAACATTGATTTTTTTTTTTAAACAACACAACATTGAATTTAACATATCATAAAGAAAAAAAAATACAGGAGCCTTACTATGAGTTCTTTTTCTTGACGATTTCCTCAATGATGACGCCTCCCATAGTCTATTTCATTTTGAAACCTACTCCTTTGTTGTTGTCCTCTATGACTTTTGTGGCGCGCATTTGAGGGTGGTAGGGTAATTAACCTACTGTTTTGATGATGCTCTTCGTTTGTCACTGGATAGAGGTCACCTGCATAACACATTCTATAATAGTTTAAAGTAAACACTGCAGGCACAAAGGAGTCTGGGACACTTCTCCTGAAATGACATGCTGCTAAGACGTGAGCGCAAGGCAAGCCATTTACCGCCCATTCACCGCATGTGCATGTCTTCTGCTCCAAATTAAGTTCATGAAATCTTACGTTGGGTTGAGAAATGCACGACCTATCAAGAGCAACCTCGTAAAGCCCAATCTGGTGATTATATGGCTTAACGGTGGCATTGTTCTTTAATTGTTTCCTCCTTGACATCTCTTTAAAAATATTCTTTGGCCAACGCAAGCCTGCTTGTTGCATTAACTCCCCAGCTGCACGCCTGTTCACAAACATAGCAACTAACTTGTTAAATGTTAGCCGAGCTATAGCAGTTACAGGCAACATTCGACAACCCTTTAAAGCCAGAGTCATATTTTTTTTATATAATTTTGTTAAGAACGGTCAACCTCAACCATCAATATTCTTATTCAAATTTCAAAAGTCTCTATATTTTAGTCCATTCCATTCCATTCCTCGGCAACCACAGAATTGACCCCTACAGGTGTGTGCGAGAGCGAGAGATATCGATTACATTTGCATAATTGATTCAGGATATTATTTCACTGATGGATCACCAAGCTACTCCCCCCAAACCTTCTCTTCCTCTTCATCCTCATATCATCATCATAGCATACCCATTTCCATCCCACATCCACTCCATGCTCAACTTAGCCCAACTGCTTTGCCTCTCCCACCTCAAAGTCACGTTCATCACAACCGTCCACGCGCGAAACAACCTTCTGTGCTTCTCCGATGTCATCTCCCGCTTCCGCTGCTACTCCGGCTTCCGTTTTGAGACGATTCCCGACGGCCTCCCCCACGGCCTCACTGATGATCACCGGAGCTCAGGCGTCGGCATAGTACAACTCCTTCATTCTCTCTCGGCCACGGCGAAACCGTTCCTGAAGGAGATCGTCGTCACCTCCGGCGGCGAGGATAGCGCGCCGCAGAGGTGCATCATCGCCGATGGATTCGCGAATTTCGCGGTTGATGTTGCGGAGGAGGTGGGCGTTCCCATTATTTCGTTTCATCCTGTGAGCGCCGCCGCTACTTGGGCGTATTTTAGCATCCCTTCTTTGATTCAGGCTGGCGAGCTCCCCTTCAATGGTGAGCTTTACATTTTTCATTCTTTTTTTTTTTTTTTTGGTATTTAAAATATTTATATTATTTATATTTGAATTAGATGCACCTTTTTTCATCTAAATAATCAAATTAATTATTTAAATTAATAATAATTTTGAACTAATAATAGTTTAATATCACCCCAATTATATATGCACTAGGGTGATTTTTTTTTTTTTTTTTTTTAAGATCACACATGTATTCTTGTATTTAGCATGTTTTAAGTTTTTATGTCACTTTTACTTTATTTTTAATATCACATCTATAAAATTTAAAATAAAACTTACGATTGCCAGGATAGGAGAACAAAATAGTACCCGTGACCTCTTATATGGGAGAGTCACAGAGGTGTCAACCTGTCATTGAGTTACAAGCTACTCAGCACATAATGTGTAGATTTATTGACATTTAAAAGTATATATGGTGTGTTTAGTAAATAACTATTAGCTGATTGGGTTAGTGAGTTTGACTAGTTGATAACATTAGCTGATTGACTGATTGTAGAAAAGTATTTGGTAAATGTTGTTAGCTGATAGCTGATTACATGCAAAATGACTTTCTCAAAAATTTGATCAAAAAAGCTACTTTGAGAAGCTATTTGAATTTTAGCATTTTGAAACAATAAACTGTTACAAAAAGCTAATTAATCAAACACTCATATTGATTGTTTAACAAAGTCAAACAACTAATAGTGGTCAAATAAGACAAAATTGAATAATAAACTAACTATATATGTTACCAAATAGGGCCATAGTATTTTTTTAAAATATCTTAATTCTAATTTTGATAATTGATTAACATTTTAAGAAAAACGAGTTGTTCAACACGGCTCAAATATATACTAATAATGTGTAAACATGCATAGTTGCATGGACACTTTTCTTTGACAACTTAAAAAGTAAGAATTATCTTTCTCTTGTTTTTTTATTTTTTATTTTTTAAATAATAAAATAACTTAAAGGTAAGTATCACTTAATATTCATAAGATCTTGGATGTCAACATCATTAACATTTATTATTACTTAAATAATTAATAATAATACTTCTAACAATTAATTAATTATCATATGTCATCTTATACTATAATTTGGACAATGGACAATAAAGTAGTAAAAAGTTCGCACTAACTTGCACGATATGATGATACAATTACTGATAAAGGAATAGGACGGAAAATTAAACTAACATAGTACTATATATAGGTAAGAGACGTATGCAGTGTATTACTGTCCTGCAAAATTTCATGTCAAAAGTCAACAATAATATCAACCATGTTGCTTTCGAATATTGGATATACACTGCTGAAAATTATGAAATTTCTGACCACCTCAAAGTGATCTTAAATCAAGTCGAAAGTCTTGTTCTGAACACTTTTGGTATTCGGAAAAATCTTTGTTGCTATATCCGATCACTTTTTACTTTCGAATTGATTTAAGATCATTTTCAGGTGGTCGAAAATTCTATAATTTCCAGTAGTGATAGTTAAACTAAATAACAATTAATATTTACATGTATTTTAATTTTGTTGACAAATACACAGTTATATATTTTGTATATATATTTGTACGTTTTTCTCACATGTGTATCAGTGTATAGTATCTTGCTTGTGTTTTCCTTTTTAGTTTTTTGGTTCTTATTTTTGTGCTATCTAGACAATTACTAATTATTTGACTTTTGAGGGTTCGAAAAATAATTTAGGAAAGGATATGGACGAGCCAATCTTAAGTGTTAAGGGTATGGAGAAGTTGCTTAGACGCCGTGATCTTCCCGGCAATTGTAGAGTGGATGACTTAGAAGATCCATTTTTCAAGTTTATGATGGAGTTTCGAAAATGTTTTCGAACCAAACATCACATAATCAACTCATTTCAAGAACTCGAGGGTTCGACACTCGACCAGATGCGAATCGGTGACATGTTGAACGTGTACGCAATTGGACCGTTACATGAATTACTACGAAACAAACTTGGTAGTTGTAATGTTACATTGACCACTTCTTCGAATGGTTTGCATGAAGATGGCAAAAAATGCATGGATTGGCTTGATAGGCAGCCGCCAAACTCTGTTTTGTACGTGTGCTTCGGGACTCTAACTTTGGTGAGCGAAGAAACCCTCGCGGAGTTTTGGCATGGGTTGATGAATAGCGGGCAGCGTTTTCTGTGGGCTTTAAACCCGCGATTGGTTCTGAACAAGAAAGTAGAGCGCGGAGAGGTTCCGACAGAAATCTTGAACGGGTTAGAGGGACGATGTTGCGTTGTGGAGTGGGCTCCGCAACAGGAAGTGCTGGCACACTCTGCTGTTGGAGGGTTTCTGACTCATTGTGGATGGAACTCCATTATGGAGAGCATCGTTGCCGGGGTGCCAATGATCGGTTGGCCTTTCTATGCCGATCAACAGGTGAATAGTAGGTTTCTTGGGGAGGTTTGGAAGATCGGGTTAGACATGAAAGACACTTGTGACAGACACATAATTGAGAAAATGGTGAGGGATCTAATGGAGGTGAGGAAAGATGAGTTCTTGCAAAGAGCTAAGCAATTTGCAAATTCTGCTAAAGAATGTGCAAAAGAAGGTGGTTCATCTATCTCTTCTTTAGAGAACTTGATTGAAGATATAAAGAGAATGTGAATTGTATTGTGATGAATTGTGCTCAGCTCAGCTCATTATATTTTTAGATTAATTTTATGAACCATAGAGTTTTTAAACTGAATTGTATTAGTATTCTATGTCCACTTATTGTCAAAAATAGTATGAATGCAATTTCTTAAATTAAAATAAGAAAAACTTACACTTTTTAATTTGTCTTTTTATTTATCAAGTTAGAGAGAGTAAAAAAAAAAACCCATACATAACTACTAGATAGAAGTGCATTAGGAGAGAACAATACCAAATTCATTTAATTTGTACACTATATATGGTGGCTGCGGCTATATTGAAAATGTATATTATTAGGGCACCCATGCAAGTAATTAATATTCTAGTTAAAAAGAACCCAGCCAGGCAGCCACCACAAATTAAAACTATATACAATTAACACACACAAATTAAAATTAAATTTTTATTATGAATTTCGTTCCAACATCGTTCAACCTGACACTCTAATCTATTATCTATGGTATCCTATCCCACTTAATTCCCACGTAAGACAAGTAAAATCCTTCGTTTGGTTGGAAGGAATTGTAATTTCGTGAAATTGAAATTTTTTCATTTTCATGAAATTAGAATCTCATGTCCACGGAAATTGTTATCGAGAAGAAATACATATCTATACCTAATTAAAATTTCTCTCTAGGGTTTGCTAGAGTTTTCTCCTCCCCTAGGGTTTGCTAGGTTTCCGACGGTTTCCTACGTTTTTTCCGGTGATCATCACTGTTTGGCGACGCTAATGAGTACGCTGAGTTGGAACTGCCGTGGCTTGGGTAATCCACGGACAGTTCGAGAGGTGGTGGACATGGTGTCCAAAAAGCAACCCGACTTTGTATTTCTAATAGAAACTAAGGTAGCGCGAGATCATGCTGAGCGTCTTCGTGTTACGATCGGTTTCGAAGGCTTATTTTATGTTGACAATGATGGTTTGAGTGGTGGATTAGCGTTATTGTGGAAGAAGAATAATACGGCGAGACTCCTTAGTTACTCAAGAAACTACGTTGATATTGAGGTAACTATGACAGGTAATCCGGCCTGGAGAATGACGTGTTACTATGGTTATTCGGACCGTAATAGGCGTGCTGAATCATGGGATTTGTTGAGAATGTTGGCGGCAAAATCGAATCTCCCGTGGGTGGTGGTGGGGGATTTTAATGATTTGCTATACCAGTATGAGAAGAGAGGGGGAAATCCACATCCGAATAGCCTTCTTCGAGGTTTTGGGGAGACGATTGAGGATTGTGGATTGGCCCAGTTGCCAATGATTGGATACCCATATACCTGGGAGAAGGGGAAAGGGACTGCAAACTGGATTGAGGAGAGACTTGATAAGGTCCTAGTAACGAACGAGTGGCGCAATATAATTTCCCATGTAAAGGTTATGAATTTGAGAACCAGGAAGTCAGATCATTCAGCCATTTTTTTCACAGTTCAGGAGGAGGTAGGGAGGGATGGGGTTAGAAGAAGGGGTTTTAGGTTTGAGATGGCATGGTTATATGATGAGGGATGTAGGGGTGTGGTGGAGCAGGCGTGGCAGGAAGGGAGAGGGCAGGGTTTACAGGGTTGTGTTCAATACTGTGGAAACCGGTTAACACGATGGGGTGGGGATCGGTTCCATAAGTATGGGAAACAGATTGTGCAGCTGAAACGGGATCAACAACGTTTGAGAGGATGCACTGACTCGGCCTCTCTTGTCGAGTTTCAGCGAATAGAGCAACTTCTGAGTCGCACTGAGGCCCAGGAGGATGCATACTGGAGGCAGAGAGCCAAGCAGCACTGGCTCAAGGAAGCTGACGCCAATACCAAATTCTTTCACAGGTATGCCTCTCACCGAAAGAAAAAGAATACTTTACTTAGATTAATGAATGACAATGGGGATTGGTTGGAGGGGGATCCCATGAGAGATATCATTCTGGACTATTTTAAGAATATTTTCAGCTCTGGGGGTCCGGGAACTGGAGATGATTTTTTTGGGGGGATAGAACCCAGGGTATCACATGCGCAGAATGACTCACTATTACGGCCATTTAATCTGGAGGAAGTAAAGGATGCATTGTTTGCAATGTATCCGGATAAAGCACCAGGACCGGATGGAATGAATCCGGGTTTTTATCAGCATTTCTGGGATGTGGTAGGAGGGGATGTTGCGAGTTTTGTGCTAAACTGTCTTGAATCAGGTGACCTCCCGTCTGGCTTGAATGAGACAGATATTGTGTTGATCCCTAAAAAGAGTAATCCAGAGTTAGTAACTGATTTGCGCCCTATAGCACTTAGCAATGTCATTTACAGAATAATAGCTAAAATGATGGCTAATAGAATGAAGCCTTTGATGGAAGGAATAATATCTGAGACACAGAGTGCTTTTATCCCAGATAGATTGATAACAGATAATATTCTATTAGCTGCAGAAGTGGGGCACTTTCTGAATCGAAAACAGTGTGGATTGAGGGGCTGGGGTGCACTTAAGCTGGATATGGCTAAGGCGTATGATCGAATGGAGTGGCCTTTTCTCCGTAATATGATGATGGCATTGGGTTTCCATGATAGATGGGTTGATTTGATTATGAAATGTGTGACCACAGTCTCCTATAGTATTCTGATAAATGGCTCAAGGAGTGACCCAATAATACCCACGCGTGGTTTGAGACAGGGAGACCCACTATCCCCATATTTGTTTATTATCTGTGCAGAGGGACTCTCGTTGTTACTACAACAGGCTAACAGAGCGGGATTAATTCATGGATGTAGGGTAGCAAGAGGTGCCCCTCTGATTTCTCATTTGTTTTTTGCGGACGATAGCCTTTTATTCTTTAAGGCTAATGTGGAAGAGGCTAATGAGATAAAGAAATGCCTGACTGTATATGAGGATCTATCGGGACAGGTGGTTAACTACCACAAGTCGAGTATTTGTTATAGCAGGAATACGAGTAATGTGGATAGGGAAAGTGTGGCCCAAGTTTTGGGGGTGGAGCAGGCACCAAACTTTGGCAAGTATTTGGGTCTACCTTCGTTTGTGGGTAGGAATAAAAAGGCAGCTTTTGCATATATTGAGGATAAAATACGCCAAAGAATTGGGTCGTGGAATAAAAGGCTATTGTCTCAGGCAGGGAAAGAAATACTGTTGAAAAGTGTGGCACAATCTATGCCTACCTTCTCAATGAGTGTTTTTTTGCTACCTATATCAGTATGCACGGCTATAGAAAGAACGATGAATAGATATTGGTGGGGTTCTGGGACGGACAACCGAGTTCACCGGAAGGCTTGGGACAAGCTATGTGTTCCTAAGAAGTATGGTGGATTGGGTTTTAAGGACCTACGTGCATTTAATCTAGCTATGTTGGGGAAACAGGCATGGCGAATGCTCACTAAGCCTGATTCCTTAGTAGCTCGTGTTTACAAAAGCCGATATTTTCCCAGGGATACTTTCTTTGATGCGCAGGTAGGAAATAATCCCAGTTTTTGTTGGCGAAGTATAATGGCATCAAAGAGCATAATTTGTAGTGGGGTCAGACGAAGAATTGGGAATGGGGAAACTACATCTATATGGACCCATCCATGGTTACTGGATGACCAGGACCCTATGATACAAACAGAGATGCCTATACAGTTACGAGAGGCCAGAGTAGTGGGGCTAATAGATCAACAAACTGGTACATGGGATAATGAAATTTTATCAGATTTATTTCAACCTACGGATGTCGAGAGAATTATGAGAGTACCTGTATCCCGGGATTATAATGATGCATGGTATTGGTACGGGGACCCGAGAGGATTATATTCTGTGAAAAGCGGGTACAGACGATTGGTGGGAGATTATGAGAATAATCAAGGCCCCTTTACTAATTGGTTAGCTTTATGGAGACTAAAAATTCCACCAAAGTGGAAAATGTTCCTCTGGAGAGCTATTTGTGATATTTTGCCTACAACTACGAACTTGCTTTTAAAGAGGGTGGAGGTGAACCCATATTGTGCTATGTGTGGGATATCACATGAGAATACAATGCATGCATTAGTCTTGTGTGATTTTGCAAGAAACATTTGGGATCAATCCAACCTTACAATCCCCAATATTGTCACGGATATTTTTCATGTTTGGTTTGGGGAACTTCTAAATATTTTAGATTCTGATGGAATGTTATATGCAGCATCAATTCTATACAATATTTGGAAAGCTCGAAATGGTGCAGTTTGGGAGGCGTTTTTACCACGCCCGGGGTCCCTACTCAGAGCCGCAGCGGCAGCCAAGACCGCATGGACTCAGTCCCGCCCAGCCGTGGCTGCCACTGCCACTGCTACGCTGCCGACAGAAAACCGCCACGCTGCCCAGGCGAGTCCCACCGCCGGCCGCGGTGCTGCCGACGCCGCCGGATCCTCTGTGCCGCCAGTGAGAAGATGCAGGGTCGATGCGGGATATCTACACGAGACAGGGAATGCAACTGTAGGGGCCGTTTTATTAGATGGAGATGGAGCCTATATCTCGGCACTAACCGCGCCGCTACCAGCCTGTACGTCACCACTTATGGCTGAGGCTTTGGCGTGTAAGGAAGTTTTATCATGGCTAAAGGATCGAGGTGAACAGAATATTGAGATCTACACGGATTGTTTGACACTACAACGCTACCTTACATCATCAACCACTGCGTTTCGCTCTTACGTTGGCTATGCCATTGATAGCTGCAGGCAAATTGCCGTTTATTTTCACTCATGTTCTTTTAATTATATTTCTAGATCGGACAATTATTTAGCTCATGCTTTAGCCACTACGGCTTATCAGCAACCTGATACTATGTACTGGGATACTCACCCACCAGACATTATTTCAGCATTTTTCTAATGAAGCACCGCAGAAAATTTTCAAAAAAAAAAGAATCTCATGTCCACGAATTACCCATTCTCTCTCTTTTGATATTAGCTTCTTTTAATCTCAACGCAGAACATCCTAGACCAACATTAATCAAATATGTTTTCTTAAACTCCCTAATCTATTTTATTGCATTCGTCATTTAGGATGTATAATAATAATAATAATAATAATAATAATAATAATAATAATAATAATAATAATAAACATGTGCATTTTAGACTTTATACTATTTATTCCCTTTCAATTCTTTGTATACCAAACTTTGGAACTCCCTATTTAATTGCATTCGTTATGCAATTTTTTTCAAAAGCAAAATTTGAATATGATCATTTAGGATTTATAATAATAAACTCCCTATTTTAGTGCATTAGTTAATTATGCAATTCTTTTCAAAAGCAAAATTTGAATCTGATAATTTAGAATTTATAATAATTATAATAAGTATGTGCATTTTGGACTTTATACTAATTATTCCCTTCGAATCTTATGTGTACCAAATTTTGTAATTGAAATTCTAAGTAATTCTGTTCCTCCAAACCAAACACGAATTTAAATTATCACTTTATTTTTCACATTATTCTCTCCCATGGAATTGCAAGCAGATTTATTCATTTGGTTAGAAGAAATTTTGCATTGGTGGGAAGGAAAAGAAATACCATTAAGACAAAATTACAAAATTATCTTTCTATAATTTTTTTTTTTGAACGTAAGGATTTAAAATACTTAACATTTTATTATGTTTAATTATTGTGTACTTTTATTTTTATGAAGTTTGTTTGAATGTGAAATTATGAAACTTAATGTTGCATGATTAACTAAATTTTGAAAGCTATATATTAATTATGTTCCTAGTTGTACAAGTTAATATTTAAAGTGTCCAAAATAACTGCATCGCATTATAATTTTGACACAAATTTACTTGTTAATATGATTAATAATACTTAAGTATAGTCATTTTAAGTATGAATAACAAACACAAAATTGAAATTTCACAAACTAAAACACGCATTTAAATTTCACTTTATTTTCACATTATTCATTTTCCGTTGAATCACAATAGATCTCACATTATTCACATTAATAAGAGCTAGTTTACATGCCCTAGCCTTCTTCATTATCATCAACTTCTCCTTAGAAATTGACTCACAAACTAATAACCAAATATAATCTAAAAATATAATAAGTCTCAATCAAGATTATATATTTGATTTATGTCCCTCTTTTTTGTATGCTAATAAATGTATACATTTTATTTTAAATGTTGTACACTTGTTATTAGACAAAATTATCCCTATTACATTATTTTAGACAAAACTATCCTCACCATGCATTATAACACGGTTATTTTTCAATTCTAACATTAATAACTCCATTATTACTATACACCTGTATCTAGCATATTTTTTTTTCATATTCTTTAATTATCCTTTTATTAAAATTATTATATAATTAATTCAATAATTAATTATATTTTAATTAAATTTCTATGAATGATGAATCATATATGTGTGTATAAAATATATATATTATTTGTGTATATATAATTTGAATTATAATTTTTAATTATTTATATTTATCATTATTTTAATATTAGGCATGAATTTTCATGCATCGCTCTTCTGCATATTATATTAAACAATGTAACTAAACATACTAAGTATTATATATTTATGTGGATTATTGTTATATGTATTGTGATTGTTTAGAGGCCTGTGAAGGTGAGGTCAGTGGGAATATATCCGATATCTGCCAGAACCTTCTTGCACCGTGGATCAGGCTTGGCCGGCATGAAGAAAAGCGGGTTAGCGTAGCGAACGACGGAGTGTATGCCGGCGTTCTCGCTGCAAAGCACCTCCGATTTATCCAGACTCGGCACCGTCTCCTTGCAATCCTCCCTAGGGCTCTTCACCACCGTCACGTCGCAGATCGCTTCCTCGTGATCCCCCTCTACCACCAGCGAGTAGTTCCCGTTCGCCGCCGTCGTCACCTCCTCCGTGTACGTTTCTTTCTCCGTTTTCAGGTTCTTGCAATCCAGCCGCACAACCGCGCCTGCACGCAATCGCAGGTACGTACGTACGTATCTTCAGTACGTTTTGTCTAAAAAATTGGAAGGAATTAGGGTTTGTATAATGGAGATCGATGGTGAGTGTTGAGTACCGTACCTTTTAGGGATTCGCTGATTTTGGTCTCGAATTGGACGCGGCAGTTGTCGCAGTAGACTCTGCCTTCCACCGTGAATTTCTCGCCGGGTTTGCCGGCGGCGAAGCCGGCAAAGGCTAAGAAGCAGATGGCGGCAGAGACGAGTGCAATGGTAGCCTTTGCCATTTAATTTGTGTGTTTTAATTTAATTATATTTTATGGATATAAACGAAACAACACGAAGGTGGGCATTTTGTAGGTGGAGAATGTGGTTATGGGAGGGTGGTTTAGCGCAGATTTCTCCGGGCAGTGAAAAAGTGATCACCATTTATGAGGAATTGAAGCTACAGATGATTGACTCATCATTCCTTGGGTTTTAGGGAGAGAATGATAAAATTAAACAGTAATGAATATGTGTAATATATAATTTGGTTTATAGAATATGTGTAATATAGAAAAGTATTTCGTATTTTATATTCAGCAAGGTAGGGTAAAATTTCATTTTCAATTCTTTATGATCATATTATTTTGAAGATCAACTATTGTCATTATTATAAGCCTAAGCCTTTTTTTTTTGGGGAGATATAAGAGAAATTCGCAGTTACTATTTAAATGTGTGCACCGGATAAATTTTATTTTTATGTAATAGTTCACAAATTATAGAAGAAAGGTAAATCGTACCAAGAATGCCATGTAGGACCCGTTGCAACTAACCCTTTTTTTTTTTTTTGAAATAATTTTAGTCAAGATAGTCAAATAATTAGTTTAATTTGATAATCATACTATTTCAAATTTTACTCTCTAAGGGCATTCTTATAATAGTGAGGTTTTGGGATCGATTTTTGAGATGTCAAATAGGAGAGATGAGAGATAAAAATGTGCAAAAAAAAAGAAAAAAGAAGCCTGAAACAAAAAGTAAATAAATTTAAATTTGAAGCAGAAAGAGTCGATTTCATAACCTCCCATATGGAAGAGTCACTACATGCCATCTAAGCACAAGATGCTTGGTTACCTTTAATGATTTGGTAAAATTTACTATTTCTGAAAAAACTTGAGGGTCCGTTTACCAACAGAAAACTGTTCTTTTCTAATTTTTTTAGTTTTCATTTTCAGTTTTCCATTATCTGTTTTCTGTTTAGAAAACTTGTTTACTAACTGAAAATTGTTCTCTGTTTTCTATTTTTTAATTTTTCAGTTTTCACCTAAAATTTAGTTTAGATATTATTAATAACTAGTATTTTCACCCGTGCGATGCACGGAATGGAATTGTTGTAATATATTAAGAATATTTAAATCGATATATAATTATTTAAGAGTTAATTTCATCAGAGGTCGTTTATCTTTCCTGACAATTTTAAATTTAATCCTAGACTATAGTTATTAATTATTACAATTTATTCTATGTTACAACTCTTACGTTAATATTCTTACTATTATTATTAACACTTAATTACTTTTAGATATTATTATTACCACTTATATTATTATTATTATTATTATTAGATGTTTGAGCTAATATTAAAAATATTTTTTTTTTGGATATATCATTTGAATGACATGTATATGAATATATAACTTTTACTTTGAATTCTAATATATGTGAGATTTTAATATCCGATATATGGCCGAACTTGTATTATGATGTAACATAATTTAAAATATCCGAACTAATAATCTATTGAGTTCAATCAAAATCTAAAGCATTATATAGAGTTTAATTCTTATTTTGATAATGTAAATAATATCTAACTTTAAAATGTAAGCAAATAAATCATGTTTAAATATGTAAAGTAAGTAGAAAAGATAGAAGATAGTGATAAGTAAAATAAGATGATAATGAATGTAACCATAGTAATGTTGTTATAGTGACATATAACTAAATAGATGATAGATGATTCTGTTTTCCATTTCGAAAACAGTTTTTAAGTGTGTCTCAGTTTTCCAGAAATTATTTTCAGTTTTCAAAATGGAAACTGTGTTTAGTAAACATGTTTTCTGTTTTGTATTTTCCATTTTCCGAAAATTCTCAGAAATTTCCAGTTAGTAAACGGCCCCCGAGTCTTTATAAGGAAACCCTACCCTCTCTCTTCCATGTGACAAAAAGGTACGCAAACATTAAGAAAAAATCTCCTAAGGGCATCCTCAATAGTTGGAGATTTTACCTCAGATTTTTGTGAGCCCCAACATCCATCTCATCATCCACTTTCTCACTCAATCACAAAAACTATTCTTCCCATTAGTTTTAAAATTTTCACAACTTTTTATGGACCCACCATTTTATCTCCATATTTTAATTATTTCTTAATTTATTAGATTTATTTTTTTTGAAAGCAAATAATAGCAATTTATTATTGAATGAACATAGTAATAGAGTCAGGAGGGACTGAGTCCTAGTACATAGAATGCTCCTGATCAAAAGCTAATGTTGCTAATGTATGAGTATGTAAATTAACCGTTCTAGGAATAAAACTTAACAAGCAATGATTAAGCAAAGACATAGTTGTCCTACATTGGGGTGATGAATGTTTTGATAGAAGATCTTTGTGGTTGCCGTGCTATATCATATATGGGCTGCCAGGAACTTGGCCGTGTGGGAGGGGATTCTTCCGCTACCCGAGCAGACTTGGAGACGTGCGGCAACTGCTATGCATTCATTTCGGCATGTGCATCAACGCCGACATCAGCCTGCGCAGCAACCGGCAGCAGCTCCGGACGGGATGAGTGCACGGCCGGAATGTTACTTCGACGCAGGTTTCAGGCAGCAGAGCGGAGAAGCCGCATACAGTGTAGTCTTGGTCTCTCACGATGGCTCTTTTGTAGCAGCAACAAACGGCAAACTGGCAAGCTCCTTCTCTCCGCTCATGGCGGAGTTTTTAGCTTGCAAGGAGGCTCTATCTTAGCTCAGAGAACGGGGTGTGTTAGCGATGGATCTTCTCACGGATTGCTCAGTATTTATTTGATTTATAATTGTAAAATAAACATAAATAATTAACATACATAACATATATATATATATATATATATATATATATATATATATATATATATATATATATATATATATATATATACACACTTAAAATTGCAAGCTTTCATTTGTTGGAAACTTAATTAAAATAATATTATAAAAATTATTATTACAATTTTTAGCAACATTAAAATAAATTTATAATTATAAACTTTTTAATTTTTTTAAATTATAATTTTATCATATACAAATTTAATAATAGAATTTAACAAAACTAAAAAAAAAAAAAAATAGAACAAAGAAGCTGGCCTGGCCAACTTTAAAAACAAAACAAAAAAGTACAAGCGTTTGACATGAACTTGCAAATAGCAGGAGGAAATTTTTGTCAAAATTTTACTTTCTCATTTGTTAAAATCCAATCCAAAGAAATTTTACTATTCTAAAAGGAAAATACTTGGTGTACTCCCATTTTAAACTCTCAACTTGTACTCCCTCTCACATGCTCTTGATGTAGACATTTTTCTGTGGACCCACATGATAAAAATAACCAATCCTGATTTGCCACTTCAGAAAATATAAATGAGGGAGTAGAATTTTGGGACTCTATGTAGTAAAACTCATTCTAAAATATGGTGAAGAACCCTTATTGGGATGCCTAATGTGAATGCCCTAGGAGATGCCTATGGACTTCTTAGCTCTTCACCCAAAGCCTTTGCCTTATTGGCTCGAGAGTTGGTATTTTTGGGCAAATTATGCTCTGCATCCGTATGCACCATGCATGGTGCATACGGATGCAAAAACGATGTCGTTTTAATAAAACGCGCATCTCCTCTTAAAAAAAAAAATCAGGTTCGATTCCCAGCAACAACATATGAACTAAAATTTCATAATCGATGAACTATAATTCCATAATCGATGAACTATAATTCCATAATCTAATCTATGAACTAAAAATTCCAGAATGAATGAACTAAAATTCCATAATCTATAAACTAAAATTCCAGAATCGATGAACTACAATTCCATAATCGATGAACTATAATTCCATAATCAATGAACTATAATTCCATAATCTATGAACTAAAATTCCAGAATGAATGAACAATATAATGTTGTTGCTGGGAATCGAACCTGAATTTTTTTTAAAGGGGAGACGCACGTTTTTTAATAAAACGATGTCGTTTTGGCATCCGTATGCACCATGCATGGTGCATACGGATGCCAAAACGACGTCGTTTTATTAAAAAACGTGCGTCTCCCCTTTAAAAAAAATTCAGGTTCGATTCCCAGCAACAACATTAGTGCATGGTGCATACGGATGCACAACATAACTATCCGTATTTTTGTTGTTGTGGACTTGTGGGTAATTGAAGTTTATAATACGTACAACAAAATACAAATGACCAGCAAAATTTTAAATCATATATCACCATATAAATTTGGGAGCGTTATGCTATACAACTGTGTGTACTATGCATGGTGCACACAGTTGTAAAAACGACGTTGTTTTGACGTCTGACTTAAAAAAAATTCAGTTTCGGTTGTCGTTAACGGCGTTATGTTGTGCATAATTTGAACTATACGTCCATAACTTCATAACTATACATTCAGAATTGCATAACTACACATCCATAACTTCATAACTATACATTCAAAACTGCATAACTACACATCCATTAACTTTATAACTATAATTCAGAATTGCATAACTACACATCCATAACTTCATAACTATACATTCAGAATTGCATAACTACACGTCCATAACTTCATAACTATATATTCAGAATGTGTTTGAGTTATAACTTCATAACTTCATAAAATAATGTTTAGATTACCAAAATTAATCAATGTTTAGATTACCAGTGTTTGAGTTATAACTTCATAAGTACATAACTATAACTTCATAACTTCATAAATCAATGTTTAGATTACCAAAATTAAATTAAAAACGCGGTGGCATTTTGATAATTTTTGCATCTAGGTAAATTTAAAGTGTTTGAGTTTGGACTTAATGTGCGTGAGTTTTGTGGTTAATATGTGTGTGGTTTGTGCTTAAGGTGCGTGTGGTTTGTGCTTAAGATGCGTGAGGGTTGTGCATAAGGTGCGTGGGGTTAGTGATTAATATCAGTAGTTGTTGAAACTTAAGGTGCGTGAGGTTTGTGCTTAAGGTGCGTGTGGTTTGTGCTTAAGGTGCGTGGGGTTTGTGATTAATGTCAGTAGTTGTTGAAACTTAAGGTGTATGAGTTTTATGCTTAATGTGCGTGAGTTTTGCGCTTAAGGTGTGTCTGTTGTGTGCTTAATGTGCATGATTCGTATGCTTAAGGTGCGTCAGTTTATAAACTAAGATGCGCGAAGTTAATACTTAAAGTGCATCAGGTTAACACTTATTGTGCATTGTTCTAACACTTAAAGTGCGTGTTTCTATCACTTAAAGTGCGCCATTTTTAACTTATGATTCTTTCTTCCAGACACACATTTTTTTTTAAAATTTTCATTGATT